CACACCTGTAACCAATGTGACCGTGGTAATCAACATGTTTATTCTTGTGCACCTGTCGATCTACTCCGATTGCTCACGTTGCCATACAGCGGCAAGTACGCATTACTTTCTTTCTTGATCGGTCAATGATCGGTCGTAGCAAGGATGTCTGCAATAATACCCGAGTTTTTACTCGACAAACTTTCCTTCGTCCCAAACTTCGGTCCCTTTAGCATCTCAGAAAACCCAATCAGCCCGCTGCGGACGCGGCTCCCCTTTTCGCAGCCCAAAACTCCTCCGTTGTCTGTGTTTTCCCTCTCACGACGATCGGGTCATACGACCAAGCGTCCGGCTGGAGCTATAATTATCGCCCTCTGAACTCTCTGTCCCACTGGCAAGGGTACCGTTACCCATAGCAGCTCTCCCACTGCTCTCATGCTCGCCGCTCATGAAGAGTCTCGCATACGCTATTTCGGGCCGCGTCCTCTCATCGTGCTCGCCTGCAACCGTGCGCGTCGTCACCTTATGGTTATTGCGAGCGCGTGCGTCGCATTCGCGATCCCGTGGTATAGTCGAGCACGCAACCTCGTACGCCGAGCCCTTTCGCTCTCAAGAATCCCGCATCCAGGGAAGATCAAGAGACGGATTGGGTGTATTTTCAAATACCTCGAGCCTCATCTCACGAATGTTTCCTGTTCTAGACTCTCCGGTTGGCCAAGCTACCCTATTGCCCGAATTTACATGACGTACCCTCCGTAACCTCTTCGTTATACATGGTCTTCCGTCTACCAAAGCTGCTGCGGAGCCGATGTACCCTCCCAACGTACAACTCTCAGTGCCTGTGCCTACGCCGGCTGAGCCATACGTTTATCTGCTCTCCCTCGCTCACTCCTCATGTGATACGGCGATACGCAAATTCCACCACACCGGACGGCCGTTCTCTTCGACCCGCCCGCCCTGGAACTTCGGCTTCCCCTTCGACCTCTCTCCAATCTCTCATGTTTCATGACAACCATTCAGTCCGACACCGCTCGCTTCTCCCCCTCGGAGGTCCCAAAGCTGCACCCCGCACCCCGCTTCTCATAGCCTCTTCCCACTCGCTATTCACACCGCAGAGCCCTATATACTGGTATCTTCCCAGCCTCGACACGTTCCCGGCGGGATCTCTGCGGCTCCGATAGCCCTCAAATTTTAAACCCGCGCGTCCGTGCGTTTCGCAGATGCACGACTCGCGATAGGAGAACATCGACGTCGGCTGACTTGCTCGCTTATTGACATGCTTTGCTGTGGTCCCTTTTCCTCTCCACTGTCCACGCGGATACGTCGGTCAGCCTCCCCTAATTTGTCTGAAAATCCTACACGTACGGCTCAGCCCTTCTGACGTCAAAGAACCACTTCATGTATTGGGACACAGGTACAATATGCGTAGCGTAATCACTATGTTGTCGGCAAGGGAGACCACACGTTCTCCGCTTCGGAAGACCATTCGGACCATCGTCTTGCTAACATGCAGGAATTTGTGTGCGAAGAGACTGCGTATCGAAGTACCTGCGTCTAGATTTGTCCGTATTTCATGGTCACTCTTGTTTCAAGGACTCCGGTAGATCGAGGGCCGGTATGGGAGCCGCAGCTAGGTGTCTTTAGTCCTGTCCTCGGAAGGGAGTCGTTCCCCCTCAACTCCTGCTCAATTTGAGAATCTTCAGGGAGGGAAGAGGAAGTCTCGTTCAATCTTGTCCTGAAAACCGAGAGCGTACTCGACCTGAGAATGTAGCTATGTGTGGCGATGAACGTGAGGCCATCCGTTCTGCACAGAAAGAAAAGCACTAGGGACCCTAGAGAGCCTCTACCGTAATGAGCTCGCATTAATCCGCCGTGTCGAGTCTGTAATACTTTTCCTGAATACCGTAAACGAACCAGGGGAAGGTCTCTCCTTGCGCTCGACCTTCTCCGAAGACGATAACGTAAAGGGCCGAGGGGGTGCAGCAACTCTTCCCGGACACCCATTCACAACGGCAGACCTCATGATCTGCTCTTCGAATAAGCGTTCAGCAGATCCGGGCCGGGATAATCGGGAGGCGAACTAGACGAGACCACTGTGTAACGACAGGCCCCGCCCCCTGTTACGCACTTAGAACGTCAAGTTCTGTCAGGGGATATACGACCGCAGTCTCCAGAGCTTTGAAAGACTTTGTAGTGCGACCTCAGAGATATCAGAATCCAGAAACGCTTGAGCATCAGCACAGAGTCGGAAAGCGACAAAAGGCAAGTCTTCAACTATGCAACTTTCAGGTTGGAGGATTGGCGAACCGGGCACGAATATGGTGCCGGGGGCGAATTGCGTCCTGCCGTAGATGGCAAGAACCCCACAGCGCCGGCGTACTCAACGACCATCGTTCGCTGCTTTCTGAATGTAGCCATAGCTGGAGAAGTAGGATGGAGATGCCCACGTCTTCAGCATACGGAGCATACGCACGGACACATTCGACCTCAGAGCCGTCCATGAGCTCTCCGCTAAGCCCAGTTACGCCAGCGAAGCACTCGAGGCCATAGTGCCATGTCGCCGTCACCTCCATGGCATTGCTTGGGTACCAATCTCCGGCGCGCTTAATGCAGAGCCAAAGATTCTGATAAGTCAGGAAGGTCGCTGAAGGGCTCAACGGCGTATATAAGGCGGAATTAGTCTGTACTTTCTGACTATGAGTCGACGCTCTGTAGCTCGTGGAAGATTCCAGTCGAATGCTCTACACGTGGATCACCTGCAAATACGGATGGTAGATCAGTCTTGCGAACATGCCACCGTGAATCTTTATCCACTCACTAGCCGCTGCACACGTTCCCCAGAATCACTCTGAATGGGTCAACGATGTAATTGACAGAGCCCATGTGCATGATCGCTAGTCCCGAAATTGACGGCGCGTCACCCCGTCAAAGTCGATCAGCGCTCTGGCTGTATATGGCCCCTTCTCTCGTGGGCGATCTCGCCGAAGAGATGGAGAACTCTGGAGCTTGACGTGCTTGTACTCAAAGCAGGATGTCCAAAGCCTTGGGACCGTCAAACAATAAAGCCCGTGAGCCCGGAAGCAACGCTGCGCGCTAGTGGCGCCGTGCTGGTGTATCAGTAGGCGTCCGGGTACTGTCTTGGGCCCTGACGGTAAAACAACAAGATCCAGAAGGGGTGAGATGAAGTCGTCCGGAGATGAAGGCACTTCGTATGTGGCGGCAGGACGACGAGGCGACCATGAGCTCGGAACTCCGCCTCGTGGCCAAAAACGCGCGCCACCACGCCGAGGTGCCCGACACCTTGTTCTCGAACCCATCCACGGCGGTGGCGACAGCTCAAATTTGCTGGTTACTTAGATCGCACAAAAGCACTCGATGAGAGGATTCGTTATGTGACTTTTGATTCGTGTAGTTTGTGAGCGATAAATAGTGATACAAAGCTTGGAAAAGTAAGGTATATGTATGTCCGTAACAGATTAGAATACAGACTGTCGGAATGGTCATCGATACAGTTTTCATGAAAAGAAAGCAGAAACCAAAGCAAAGACGAGAGATGAGATGAGAAAGCGGGAACGAGAACGAGAAAGCATAGCGAAGCGGAGACGAGTGAATAATAAAAATATAGCGAGCGAGTGAGCGTGCGTGTTGGGGAGAGCGATGGGGATAGGGAGACGAGAACGAATGTGTTGGTTGTGGGGGTGCGAACGAGCGTGCAACGTGATTCTGGTGAGCACAGCTCGACCTTGAGGTAGAGTGGTTTGGTTTGGAGCATATGGGAAGGGAATGGGATGGGGGGCCACAAGAGTCGCAGAGGCCGGGGCGGGGGTGCATCTTCAATCTTCAATCGACAGCCCCTCAAGCGCGTTTGAACACCAACGCCAGCGTCACGATGGTCGCAAGAATGACTGCGAACACCAAGAACGCGGTGAGGCTGCGCAACGCCCACTTGACCTCGACGCCGCGCATCTCCTGGAGAATGCGGGCGCGCTCAGCAGCAGACTTGGTAGGCTCCCATCCCTCGGGTGCGACGAGGGGCGTGAAAAGGATGGGGATGGTGAGGAGCCAGAGGAGTGGGAACACTGGGACGCGACAAGTCATATGAGCGGCACGTTCGAGAAGAGGATGTGGCGAGAGCGTGTACTTACAAAAGCCGTACTTGAAGAGGTATTCGGCGAGAGTGGGAGGCTCTTTGCGAGCGTCCACAAGTGAATCGCGGCAGATCTCCGGGGTGGCGACAGTCTGCGCGTAGGTGGGGAGCTCCTGCTCGGGAGAGGAGGGCGAGGGGTAGATGTAGGGCGGCGGGGTGTCCTTGGACGCGGGGAGCGTCGTGGGGAGGGGGCGCTCGTCGTGGCGGCTGTCGCCCGTGCCCTGAGCGCGAGTGCGGCGAGAGGGCGAAGCACCGAAGAAGTCGTCGATGGCGTTGTTAAAGTCCTCCTGCTTGGAGTCTGAGATCGGCGAAGTGGCGCGGGGCGCGGTGGTGAATGCGCGGGGAGGAGTGGAGAGGATATGGGACGCCGGGGGCTCAGGGAAGGAGGCGTAGGTGCCAGTGATAGGTTGGGCCTCGATATCGGTGGGGAGAGAGGAGGCAGAGGTGGACTTGGTCCAGAAGCCGAAGACAGTGCGGAAAGACATTGGACTGAGAAGATGGGAGGCTGAGGGAGCTTTGAAGCGTCGGTGAGGATGCGGGCTGAGGCTTGCGACTTTGGCTCGATGGCGGGGGCGGTGGATGCTGCTGAGACGGGGCCATGGCTGGGTCTTATATGGGACAAGACAAAGGGAGTGTCTCGAGAAGTGATGAAAGAGGGCGCTGTTGGGATGAGCTGGACCCACCGTTGCTGTTACCCGTTGTGGGCGTCACTCGCACCCACAAACACTTGCCTTACAAGGCAACTCTCCGTTGCCGCGCCATCAAAAAAACCATGCGCCCACAATGTCACGTGTCACCCAATTACGTAATGCTCTTCCGCGCGAGCATTATCCCGACGATTTCAAAAAGAAAAACACTCCTTGCGATCATCTTTTGGACACATCCGGAATTGAACCGGACACCTCTCGCAAATTCAAATTTCATGCTAAGCGAGCGTGATAACCAACTACACCATGTGCCCATGTTTTAGTTTGATATTTTGGAAGACTTGACGCCGGAGGTACTTGAAAAAGGCCTCGGAGTCCTTCAGCTTCGAATTCAAAGCATCCTCCATGTTAGCTGGACGTGATGAGAAAAAACCGAGCTACACGAACGAGTAATATTGAAGCCCAAGCTACGTCTTGTTTGGCAGAAAACGCAGCGCGCCTAATAGGCTTTTCAACTCAACATATATCCTCCTCGAGGGACACACAACAACTGTATTCCAAAACTCAAGAAGTACAGCACCACTCATAAAGCGAGGGTGACGAGTGAATAAGCTAATGTAGCACCAGAATATCTCAGCAGAGCAACAAGGACAGAGCATGGACCTCGAAAACGATAATTGGCAAGTGATACGAAACGTCTAGTACGAGAACCTCTCCTGTTGCAAAGGTTTGGAGTGTTAGCAGCGAGTATGTGGTGTCAAAGAAGGACACTTACGCGAAGCTGCCGCCCCTTCCACTGGACGACGGGCACAATCAGCAGGAACAGACCAGCGACAACACTGCAAGATTCAAACGTCAATCTATCGGCACGCCCAGGGGATGGAGACACCACATACGCTCCCTCGCAGCCGAAAGTCTGCACCGCGCCATTCTTCATCGCCCACGGGACCTGGAAGTACGCCACCGCGAAACCGCCCAACGTCCGGGCCAGATTCACCAGCGCACTGACTTCTCCCTAAACACACACGCAACGTCAAAACCACACTCCACATCCTCTGCACCGAGAACGCAGCCTCACCTGGTGCCTTGGGAAACAATCATTGCAGTACGCATCTACCAGCACGACATACATGAGACTCCACGAAGAACGAAGTCGAGACGAAAGTCGAGAGACGCACATGCTGCGACCGTATTAAGCATCGCCGCGACCTGCGCGATGCCCCACCCCATGATCAAGGCCCCAATCGTGAAATGGTTCTGTATCGACGCGCCGATGATCACGAAGCCCGTCACGTAGAGCGGCACGGCGACATAAGACGCCCTAGAATGCAGTCCATCAGCAAGGTCTCCGCGGCATGGAAACCAGGCAGTGGGTGACGAAGGTGGGAAGGTGGGAAGTGGGAAGTGCGGGGTGGCGCTTACCACAGGCGGCTCTCAGCTTCGAAAACACCGTTGTTCCGGCGAATGCAGACATTCTGAATCCACTCGTTGAGGAACCGCCCAACGACCTCGCCGATGAGCACTGCCACCTATACACAGACGCCGAGATCAGTCTGGAGACACGCAGCAGCGGTAGTGGTGAACTCACCATTGGCGTGGCATAGATACCCGAGATGGCGTTAGTACTGAAGCCGTAACCCGCGGGTTTCGGCATGCCCAGGAACAGCGCGTTCGTCACCTACAACCGACGTCAATGTCACATTAGCAATTAAGCATAAAAATAAAGCAGCCTAGAAGCGGCGCCAAGACTTACAGTAATACCAATAGTGAAACCAAACAGCATGCCCTTCACCAATCGTCAGTCCATGAGCGCGCAGACCGCCTGCGAGAGCGAACGCACCTCGAAGACCAGGATCGCGAGGAAGTGCGGGCGCCAGATGAGGTGGAAGCATGCAGGGACGATCTCGGACCACGGCGGGCGGTACTTCGCCATGCGCACACCGGTGATACCGACGAGCGTCTCGACGCGGTAGCGCAGCCCGGTGGACAGCCGTTTTGGAATGGGTTTGACCGTGCGGTCGTAGAGCCTGTAGTATCACAGCTGTGAGTTTGTGCAGATCAGAGTCTGAGGGCAGTGGCAGACGTACGTCTCTTCACCCAAGACGGCGATCATGAGGACGACGAGGGCCATGTAGATGCAGCCGACACCGTATGTCCATCTCCAGCTATTGAAGGATGCAAACGTCAGTCAAAGTGGTGCAAAAAGATGAACACTACATACCTCGCGCGTGCAACCAAGAATCCAAAGACGAACGGTGACAGGAAAGGGGAGATGATGAATCCCATCGTCCACACATTGAGCTGGGCACAGGATTGTCAGTCGAATGGATCGTCCGATTGCTATCCGGCTTACCTTTCGCGCTTGCAGATGGAAGGGGTACATATCCATGATTGCGTATAAACCCTTCGCAAACAATCAGGTCACGGTTTGGAGCCATATGTCAGAGCCAACTTACGGTGACTTGAGGCGCCGTTCTGCACGTCAAGACATGAGCAGGTGTCAATGTCAAACACATTCACTCTACGCACCCAAAGAAGGCCGTCAAACAACGCATCGCTGTTACAGGAGTGTAAGGAAATGTCTGGCAATTGCACTTGACTGAGACCCACCGGTAAAGACTTTCAAAGTCGGCGCGAAGGTCAAAGCAATTAAGAATGCCAAAGCTATAAGCTGTCAGGAGCTCAGAGAGGGCACATTGCATATGCAGCACACAATTCATACCTGCGACCAGAAAATCACAGGCAGACGGCCATAGCGCCGCATGAGCATGACGGCGAATATGCCGCCCCAGCCGATGAGGAAGATACTCCAGCTAGCGACGAACTGTCAGAATTCGGCTTCACGAAGCAGACGTGGGACCTACTTCGAGGTGAGGTCGTTGATCTCATCCGTCGTCGTATGGTACTGCTTGGCAAGAGCGAAAATATCGGGTATACCTAGTAATTTCGACGTTACAGCCGCATGCATCACAAATGAAGAATAATGGCGTCACACCTATTCCTGAGTTGAAGTCCGGCACGATGGCGGTCAATGTGACGATGATCAGCTGTAGGGTTTTGCGGCCTGAAGACCACTGTTCTGATGATCAGCATAGCTCGGAAAGCGCGCGGAGGACGGTCACAGACGTTTTGCGGATCCTCCGGATTGTCCGTGGGCTGTGGCCACAGAACCTTCGTCCCGTCCTTGGAGAGCTTGAGCTTGGACGCGATCTTGTCGCCAAACTCTATCCTGGCCTCCCTGCACCATCCTCACCGTCAGTCTCAATTCAAGCACGCTCAAATGACAAAACATACTCTGGGTCGATAACGAGGCGCCCGTCCGTCCGCTCATGATAAGCGTAGAAGTCAAAGTCCGAGTCCGTCGAGGACACGTCGGTCTCCACCACCTTCTCTCCATACGGGACTGGGCTTGTGTCAGACATCGCGCACTGAAAGAGCTTGACAAGCACGGATGCAGGTCAAGTGTCGGCCCAGGGCAAGGAGGGGAAGGAAGGCGGGTGGAGAAGATGCTTCGGAGGGCAGGTTGGTGCATCTTGGGTGCATATGTATAGAAGTGTGACATGAATAGGGCGTCCATACAGGCGCTCATATCAAACGAGAGCCCGTTCTGACCGTTGCAGCAATTCAGTCTTGTCCTTTGGGAACCTTTGATTGACGTAACGGTCCGGTCTGACCTGGGAAAGACCACAGATGCATTCACCAACACCATACCCGTCAGCTTTCTCGCGTAAGCCACTTCAATCCCTCCCAGCATCAGCTTCCTACTATCATCTCAACCCCGTGCTCCGCCTTTTCTGCTTCTCTGTGCCTCAGTTGAGGGCCATCCGTGTCTTGGTATGCAAAATTGTCCCTTGGCTTCCGAGTCGGTTTGTTTCATGCAGAAAAACAGATCTCATACACGATGCCTCCATCTTCAAGGTCGAGCGTCGTGCACTAAACCTCTTCAAGGCTCAACGCCACAATGATGCCAACGTGTTTCTCTAGGATGATCCTGTGCCGTCATGCACATGTATCTCAAGTGTACGCGTCAAACCACCCCGACCTTCTTCCAACACGCCAGCAAATGCGATATACATAGACTGCAGGGTCGTCAAAACTTCATGTCATGTCTCAGACGTCCTACTCCTCCGTTTGAACCTCAAGCCCGAAAAGCTGGATTTCAAGAATCCGCATCTCTGTTTCCTTCTCGTCTCACGCTTTATTGCCCTTCCATACTGCGATTCAAAGCTGCGCACAGTCTCCGCGACCCGCCCTAGGCATTTATCAATATTGCCACTTGACAGCTGCGACGCTGAATTCTAGGCCTATGTCAAGCGGCGGCCTGCACAACGAGGGAGGACTCCGGACCTGCGCCACTATCTCCGTGACTCCGTCGACTAGAAACCAGCATATCTCGGGGCACCATAGCGACGGTCTCCTGCTTTTCGATGTACGTCGACGTTGTTTTCGACCCATGCGCCGGCTTTGGAACGATGTCGAGATGCTGCTTTCCATTAGAGCAGCGCGAGCGCGAGCGGATTGCCAGGTGAGATCACCCAACAGCTTCGATCCCTGCCTTATCACCATCGACTTCAACGCATATCTTCAATCACTTCCGCATCTAGTTCAGAGCAGAAGACTCGTGGCCACACGGCGGCTTCTCGATTCTGTTTCCGTCCGAACTCGCCAGGGCTGTTGGACCCCGCGTCCGAGATCCCGCAATTCCAACGAAGCAAAGATGTACAAATGCCGAGCTGTCGACAAATGGAGCGGTGTGGAGCGCATCTCCCATTTCACGGCCTCCCCCTCGTGTCAATGCACTGTTTCGTACTATCGCCGCGGCCTAGACTTTCGAGCACCGAGCGCCGGACGCCGAGCTCTCTACGATCCAATATTGCTCAATGCTGCACTGTAGGGGTCCACTGGCATAAATGGCGATTTTTCCGTTGGACAGCCACCTACTAGCTGGACGTGGTAGCTGTGGAGACAAGCAGAAGGTCTATAGATAACCTGGCACCTTCCTGCTCTGCGCGGCGACAGTTCCCGTCATCATGCATTAGCATTTGAAGTACGGCGAGTAACGACAACAGTGCAATGAAGACACCTTCGCAAACATACTCACTCGTGTGGCAAACGCTTCGCAAATCGCATATCACACATGCACGGCGTCGGCGGACTCGGAGCCGTGCGCACTACTCTCCACTACACAGGGCCTCTGACGCACCGTGTGAGCCGCGCACCCCCGCAAAAGGATACACACGAGCTTCACGGCACCCCGCGCCAACATCACGGCGACACCCCGGTCCCTCAAGCCCCAAAGCCTCATTGCACGCAC